TTCTCGAAAAGGAAAATGCTGGAACCACACCATGTTTGATGAGCAGATAGGTTGCACAATAATTAGAGATGGCTTGAAAAATTAAAAAGCATTGGTAAATATTAGTAAGGTTACCATGGTGATTTCAAAACGAAATGTATTGAATTCTGATGATGTATTGCTTTGTGCCTTTACATTTACATACGGCCTCAAATCATTTATAGGAACACAGGTTGAGAAGTGCTTTGCAAAGAGGTCTAGTTGGTAGATTCTGATTTTCAATTGGGCATTCAATGCAAATACCGGCCTTTGAAAAGCTCGGCACAAACCGTCGTAGCCCACAAGCTTAGATTCAATTCTTTCGAAAGCCTGTTTAAATGTTTAAAAATGTGGTAGATGTGACAACCCATATATATATAACTCTTGATGAGTATTTAAGTTGTAGAGGCTGGGAATTGACGCAATGAATAAATCCAGCAGCTGATTGAATATTTGAATTGATATAACCAGCAGGGTGGGATACGCAGAAAACACAATATAAGCAAAAATCAGGTTTCATTGCCTCAGTAGAAGTGGTTACTGTCTGCAATCAAAGACCCTCAAAGAACCGAATATGGCCTTCGAATGTCTCCCCATGCCGAATTTTGGACACTGTTCCATCATCTTCAACCTACAAACACAAACAAACTCAAGCTCTGAGAACCATGTTTCTAGCCAAAGATCATTTAAACAGCATAAATCATTAATGCATTAGCAAACAAACAATGTGTTGGTGAGACAAACGTTCAATCATAATTTATAACACAAGGTGTTGCAAGATCAAAAGTTAATTCATACCCAGTACTCAGGAGGTCGCATCTTGAGATTGTATGTCGATGCCATGCTCATGCAGTAAGCACCTGCATCATGAACAACCAAACCAGCTCCCTGCAGAAAAAATCTTGATGAGAAAATGAAGATTCTTGCTGCAAACCACAACAAAAGAAAGAGGAGGAACAAAAAACCTTGGCTGGAGTTGGAAGTTCTCTATCCTTTCCCAGGAAATCTGCTGACTCACAGACAGGACCAACCACATCAAAAGTTGAAACTTCAGCCTTGGGTGATGCAGGAGAAACAAGCTCTATGTGCTGAAACCAAACAAAAAAACGAGTCAACTCCAAGCAAGAAAGAGAACAGCTTTTAGTAATGACATGATCAAGAGGAAAAAAAGAAGGCACCCCTTGTAACTTGAAATTGTAGCCAACAGGGAGATAACATACATATATATAACAACGTACATGTCTGAGGGAAGCCAAATTCCTTCACTTTAATAAAATATTATGTTTATCCATAGCAATAGATCCACAGCTACTTGTATCATAAAAAGGGGCCTTCCTAGAGAAATAGTCAACCATTGCCAACCCTAAAGAATGTCAAACATATTTCAGACACCCAAATCATTTTCAAGGGCATCATTCAGTACCCCCTACAATCAGAGTCATTCCACAAACAAAAATGTTACTGGATTATATAATATATGACAGTAAGACTGGATCAAAAAGGGATGCCTAAACCATTATGATAGCTAAGTGTTGCTATTGAGTAAAAGCACACTACATGAAAAGGCACTTCCAGATGATAGAATATATATAAAAAAAAAAATGACATCATAATACCATAGAATAAGTAGATTATTCTACTGTTAAACATGACACACTCAATATTGAGAAGGGTTTATCAGGTTCTGATACTTACTTGATAAGCATCATAAAGACTAGGACGGATAAGTTCAGCCATGCTGCCATCTATCACAACAAAATTTTTTGTTCCATTAGTTTTAACCCCAGTGACCCTATTCACCAAGCAGCAAGTATTTGCAATGAGCGATCTCCCAGGTTCAATGATGAGATTGAGATCTCGTGAGAGAACCAGTTCACGAACCTAAACCAACAACCAATACTGTCAATATTAAGAATTTCCATATGTTGGCGTGTACTGAACACGATTTAGATATATGATCGTTACAGTGTCAATGAGATCTCTTGGAGTAGGAAGGACTGCACCAGAATGATAATAATCTATACCCAAACCACCTCCAATGTTTAAGTAATCAATTTCAAAGCCCTGAGCTCTGATTTCATCAATGTAATTAATCATGAGAACTGCAGCATCCCTGAATATGTCCACCTAAAAGACATAGCAAAGAGATGTTCAACTTTGCATTCAGTGACTAATAGCAGTGTATGTATAGAGAAAGAAAACACATGAAAGTATATATGCCCCAGAAAAATGGAGAATGGTGATAATAGAATTGAATGGTGGTAATAGAATTGAATAGGATAAGAAAGAATAATAAATTATAAGAATATTTCTAGCATCATAGCCAGTAATTAGTAGAAAGGAAAAAAAAATAGCAACAGCTTTCTGTTGGGATACCTTGGTGATGGTTGATCCTAGATGGCAATGGGCCCCCACGAGCTTCAGCTCATCATGGTGTGCCTTTACAGCATCCAGAAACCATTGCAACTTTTCATTTCTTATACCAAATTTAGAGTTCTTGTTCCCTGTAGCAACATAAGGATGGACCTAAAGAATACAAGCACAAAGTATTTGATTGTAAAAATGAATCAAACACAGCAACCTCCACAAAAATCTTTACCATATACTTTTGGAAACTTAATCAGCACAAACTACAATGTCGAAGAATTTCTCATCTTGACTTTTCAGAATGAAAGGACCTGCTTGTCATGGGTTAAGGATTAAATATATTATGATGGAGCTGGATGAGGTGGTGATGGGAAGAGAGATAAATTGTCCAACAGTATTGAGGCATGGACAAAAATAGCACTTGCCATGTTGTTAAGGCAGTAAGTTAGGCATGAAAAAGAGGAAGTGTTGAGGTGTGGCATTAACAGGGATTCCATTATGGAGCAGCAGCAGATGGAAAAGGTGTTGACCATGACTACTTGTACTGATGATGCAGAGTGCCAAAGCAGAAGGAAGAGAGATATGACTTCGTTCTATGTGAATTACTTTAGAAAAGCTAAAGTACTTAGCATGAGTTGAACTTCTCTCTTTACTGAAACAAATCAATGTTGATCATATCAATTCCTAAATAGAAAAAATCAAACATCAACTCTGAATCCCGACCATCAAAACTACAATTTTAAACTAACTTTTTCAGTGGCCTTATCAATTCAAGTGGCTGAAGTTCTTGTTCATGAAATTTCAAGGCTGAAAATAGAATGAGGCAACTTATGATTCCTCTAACTAAGGAGTGCCAAGGACTTTCTAAACATATATAATATTGACTCAAAAATATCCAGAGGTTCTTCTCTCCATCGAACAATTAGGCTGTTATACTCATTATGGAACTTGTTGAAGAGATATATTAAAAGATCCAGAGGTGCTCCAGTTCCTATTTCAAATTTCTAACTAAGTTTACCTAGGCCATGAATTAACCGAGTCAACAAACTAGCTATAACTTTTCTGGTGCCCATTTCAAATAACATGACCGGATTAACAAACATTCTAGTATCTATTTCTTTACCATCAACTCACTTCCTCACATGATAACTATTGCATACCTGAGGGTCAACATCTGGGTTGATCCGAAGTAGAACATTGACCTTCTTGCCAGCAATTCTAGCAGCAGCCACAATATTTTCCAAATCGAATTCACTATCCACGTTAACAAAAACACCTTCTTGAGCAGCCAGAACCAAATCCTCCAGCAGCTTCCCATTTCCATTAAAAATACACCTGTTCATCCACACGTTTAAACCACATCAGACAACACAAAAACTCCCACAAACACAACACTAATTAGCCCTTTATAATACAATGAGCAAATCCTAAACTAAATACCACAAAACCAAGCTCATTTAAGTTTGGCACGCCACGGTTAAAATTTCAAAACTGGCACGAAACAAAAAAGAAGCAAAAAATGTCTCAACTCAATCTTCCAACAAAAAAAAAATACTCATAAAAAGACACGCTATACTTTTAAGTTAGAATACATGAGAGAAAACAAGGCCTGGTCTTCTAATAACCCAAAACACATAAAAAGACAGTCTCTCCCCAGATGCACAATTAAATCATCATAAACATACCTTGTGGGATCGAAACCGGCCCGAAGAGCCAATCTAAGCTCGTTACCACTTACCAAAACAGCACTACAACCCAACCCTCTCAAATGCTCCAAAATCTTCAAATTATTATTAGCCTTAATAGCATAACCAATAATAGAATTCAGTCCTTGTAAGGCATCCTTGTAAGCCTCAACATTTCTAGTAATCTGTGGCTTACTATACAAATAAAACGGTCTCTTCTCAACATTCTCCATAATCTCCTGAACCTTAAGGTTCTCACAGCAGAGAAACCCATCTTTGGATTTGGTGAAACAATGCTTAAACTGTGTGATTTCCTGTGCTGTGGTTGTAGCGGGGTTTTGTTGGGAAATAACTGCCTTGAGAGAAAGGGGTTTGGGAGAGTTTTTTTTTGTTAGTTTAAAGGGAAAATTTGATTTTTTGGAAAATAGGTTTTGATTTAGGGAGTGAGTTAGGGTTTTGGAAATGAAGCGTGACTGAGAGAGATCTGTAGCAGTCGCCATTGATAGAGAAGTGAGTGTCGGAAAAGAGTTTGTATTTTTAGGGTTTTACAGAGTCAACAGAAAGTCAAAAAAAAATTTGGGTGGAAATTAATGGGATAAATTGGGCTGTAAATAAATGGTGAAATGAAAGAAATAATATATTTTAGATGTTGGGGTCGAGAATAGTGACAAAATTTTAATTAATTTTGTGGTGGTAAATTATAATATCCATCAAAATTTAGGTCTTATTGATTGGTTTATTAAATTGATTAATTGATATATGATTAAAATTATAAAATTATTAAAATTAAGATTTTAGGGTGAGATTTTTAAAATTTAAAAATTCAATAATTAAAATAGTAATTTCATGGCTTCTCTAAGAGAAGTGATCTTAATTATAAAATTATTAAAATTAAGATTTTAAGGTGAAATTTTTAAAATTTAAAAATTCAACAATTAAAATAGTAATTTCACGGCTTCTCTAAGAGAAGTAATCTTTAAAAACTTTTATAAAAAATTAAATATAATCTAACAATCAAACAAAAAATTTATAATTATTTTAAATTATTATTTTGATTTGGTGCGACTAGATCTCCTTCTAGATCTATATTTGTTTTCTTTGTTTATAAATAAATTTATTAGATTATTTATGTAATTTGTTTAAGGTAGATTTTTATTTAGTTATAATAAACTCACATCTAACTGTCCAGAATTATTCATGAGAATTATTATATAAACAATAACTTTTTAAGATTTTAACTAGAATTTGTTTCTGTATTTACAAATTGCACAAAAATATATATTTTTACTTGTAGAATATATTTTAAAAAAATTCATATAATTATATGATTTATGTGAAACCATAGCTGCTTAAAATGATTACATGAACATGTTTGGAGTAAGATGATGATATTTAGAAAAGTCAAATTTAAATTTGTAATATAGTTGTTTGAATATTATAAATATAGTTTTTTTATTTATATAAATTTTAACTTTAAAAACTCATTTAGAAAAATAGATTATATTTTAATATATTTAATACACAACTATTTTAATAATTTAATATAACTCAGTTGACTTTACAAGATTAGAAATAATCTTAGCAATTCTTGATCAATCTGATATTAAAAAATAAATTTTTTTTTTAAAAATTGAATCAACCTTATATTTAATACACAATTATTTTAATAATTCAATATAACTTAGTTGACTTTACAAGATTAGAAATAATCCTAGCAATTCTTGATCAATCTGATATTAAAAAATAAATTTTTTTTTTAAAAATTGAATCAACCTGGATGAATTTATCAAACTATAAAATATGAATAACCTCATATAAAACAAACAAAAAAAATATAAATTTTGAAAAGGAAATTAAAAAGAAAAAAAGGAGTAAAAATATACTACTACATTTGATAATATTGTGGTATTTTTGCAAGATATATATAGGAATAGTATTCTTATAATTGAAACGTTAAAAAACCATTTTGTTTAGATTTTCCTAAGTGCATGAAAAAGATGTAAAGAAAAGACATAATATTGTTTGTTTTTTCTTTCTCTCCGTTTAGCACCTGGGTTGGACTTGCTCTAAGTCATTTGATATAAATTTTGTACTTTTCATCCTAAAATTTACTTTTTATTGTACTTTTATTTTTTTTATTCAATTATACTTTTAATTCCAATAAAAAACTTAAAGGAAAAAAACATTCATAAAAAAAATCAAACATTAAATCAATTAAGAATAAGGATCAAATTTAATTTAATAAAAAAATAAAATAAATAATTCTAAATAAAATAAATATTAATTAAAAGAACAAGTAATAAAATAAATAATTCTAAATAAAATAAAATATTAATTAAAAGAACAAGGACCAAGTTTTAAAGATTAAAAAAACTATGGAGGATGAAATTGAAAAATATGTAAAAACTAAGTGAACTTGAACAAAATAAATAAAATAAAACAAGGGAGGATGAATCAAAAAAACAAAACCAATTTAAAAAATGATCCCAAATAAAAACTTGTCAATGCCAAAAAAAATTAACAATAAAAAAATAGATTTAATTTGATAAAAAAATCAATTTAAAGAATGAATCAAAACAAAAAAAATAAAAATAAAAAAATGAGAATCAAATTAAAAAAATATATAATAGAAGTGAAATTAAAAAAATACACCAAATTTATAGACCATTTAAAATAAAAAAATTATAATAAAAAGAAAAAAAAACTAAATTTGAATAAAGAATAAGTTAAAAGGTTGTTCTGGAATTTTGCAAATGTTGGCGAGAAGATCTAAGACAGTAGACATTGAATTATTTAATTAAAGGGTTAAATGAGAGATTTAAATGTTAAATAAAAAAACATAATTATAAAAATAACTTTACACGACTCGTTTATATCACGATGAAAAGATGAACCTATCCTTAAAACCAAGTTAAAAGATCAAGTGACTAAGTCAGCAGTATAATAATTATAATATTGTAATGAATAGTAATAAGTTGTGTATGGGAACAAAGAACAGGCTCGGTTTTTTTTTGTTTTTTTATTTATTAATATGAGTGTTTAAATTAATTTGTATATCTCAATTAATTTCATAAATTTTAAAAAATTATGTGAATATTTAATGATTATTATATTAATAATTAACATAAATTTAAAATTATAGAAAAAATAATTTTTTTAATCTGAAGTTGTTACCACTGGAATAGCGATGGTTTCAATTTCCTTTTTTCTTTTTTTCTCGGAGATAATCGGAGAAGGAATTGACTTCATGTCATTTCAAGATTTCTTTTTATATAGAAGGCCCGGTCTTCTTCATGGACCCATCAGAGCTATAATGAAGTGGTTGCAGTCTTCAATTGCAGGGTTTTTCTTTTTTAATCAATTAGAGCAGTGAGGAAATGGTTGTAGCCTTAGTGGAGCTCCACAAACAAGCAATTGACTTCTGCTTCCCAACTCAGACCACCACAAACTCTACGCAATTTATTGTAAAATGTCGAAAAGCTTGTGTGATTATTATCAGCAAGCACATGGACTGAATCATCCATCTTCAACCATGTATATCCACCGCTCCTAGTAAGCTTACCAGCCTTATCACACATTAGACAGAGACATGAAATGAGAATTTATGGTGACTGCTCGTAGAAGTTGTGCGCCAACCACGATCAGTAACAGATGTCTTAAGGGTATCTGGATCGAATAAAGGATATAACCAAAAATCCACTAGCAGAGAGCAGCAGCAAACGGAAAAGATTAGCTAAAGATAGATGAGTAAGTATATAGGAACAATGCTGAAAAAAGAAAAAGAAAATTTACTAAAAACATTCTTCCCATTAAATGCCAACCACCAGATTTATGAGATCTACAAGGGAGTGGAATTCTTCAATTCATAAGATTTTGATGAAATTGGTTTGTAATGAATTAATGTTATTAGAGTACCATCTAAAAAAGGAGGAGGAAATCTTGCCGGCAAAAAGGAGAAGACGTTATGCGAAGTCAGTTAATCCAAGATTGAAGGGATTTGCTTGTATCTCTCTTATCTGAACTGAGAGATTGATACTGCCGACAGATGTTAGATGAAAACATGTCAATAGAAGACATGATAACAAGCTATAAATTTCTTTATTTCTAATTCTGTCAATATCATCTTCGCTGTCCAATTTATAATTAGAAGTTAGAACCACCTATGTGAGAGACTGATACGGGTGTTAAATATCCCTCTTATTTGCACCCTTCGGGTTCTTTCCCTGCAGTCTTGCCAAAAGGTAATTTCTTTTTCCTCTTTTTTTAACTTTCTCTTCCATATTCATTTGAAAAACCTTGTTCCAGCTTCAAGTCCTTGCACTTTTTGATATTGTTTACCAACCCTTTTTAGCAATTAGCTCTTTCATTTGCATGGATTGAGCGATGTGTGCTTTTCTTATGGATAATGGTCCTGTTTCGTTAATTTTGTGTCTCTGGAATACATACATTTTGAAGTGTTCAGATACCTACACATGTGTGGGTTTGACTCTAATTGTTAAACTTTTAACGTCCCTGTGTAGCAAGGCCATCAGGAGGAAGGTTTTATGGTTAAGTGGTATCTTCAGGTCAACATTCAGACACAAAAATAAGAACATACTGATGTGGTGTCCTTGTAGGGCCATTAAGCTCCTGTAATTGCATACGATTACAAGATGTGCATAATGTCGTGGACTTTTTACCTTAATCATTTCTCAATTTCCTGCTATTATTTCCCTTCCTAATATTTCCGGGCTTCTTTGTCTGAAAGAAATTAATATGATTTTCATTGAATTAGTTTCCTACTATGTCTTAATTTTCATTTTTGAACGTTCTGATCTTCCTCGCTACTCTTGCCAATTATAAGCCTAAAATGATGCATCTGTTTTCAGAGCACTTTGATTGCCAGGATTTACAGGTTGGGAAAAAATAATAAAATTGAAGTACTTTCTGTTGCATTGGATCCGTCTCCTTGCTGAATTTTTTCCCTTCCTTTTGACATGGTTGTAGGCCTGACAATATTCTTCGCGAGGGCCATAATTTACGAAGTGCTTGATTATCCTGGTACGACGGAAATCACAAATAGGTCACCACCATTCCAAAATTTAGCCATGGCTGATACTATGTCTGGACCGCTTGATCGAGATATCAAAGGGGGTAAGTGCTCTAAAACTTAACATGGATTAGTGCTTATAAGATAGGCCATTCTTTTGGTTCTTTGACAGTCATGAAAATATGCATGCAATGGTTTATTAAAACTTTGGAACATGAAAATATGCACGCGATGGTCTATAGAATCTTTGGAAAGGAAATATGCAGGAAGGAGAATAACACATTCCTCTGCTGAACAGCTTCTTTCTTTATAATGAGTTAGTATGAAATATGCCTGAGAAAGTAGTTCCATTAAAAGTTTCGAAGTTCTTGCATTTCATTATCTATGATTTAAACAGGTCTTGAGAAATCCGACGCTGAATACTCCGAGGATGATAGGAAGACCAAGCTTGGATCGTTGATCATTGAAGAAGAAGGCAATTAGTGCCTCGAACAAGTTCAGGAATTCCTTGACAAAGAAAGGACGCAGACACAGTAGAGTAATGTCTATTTCAATTGAGGATGACCTTGATGCTGAGGAATTACAGGCAGTGGATGCGTTTCGCCAAGCACTTATTTTGGATGAACTACTACCCTCTAAGCATGATGATCACCATATGATGCTAAGGTTAGTTTTCATTTTTCAGTCGTTAATGTTTAGAATGGCATGCTCAGCTTTCATTAAAAATACTTCTTTGACTCGATCCAACTGCTTGGGTCGATCACATGTTGTCTCATGATACAGATTTTTAAGGGCCGGGAAATTTGATATTGAGAAAGCAAAGCAAATGTGGTCTGATATGCTTAGTTGGAGGAAGGAATTCGGTGCTGACACAATCATGGAGGTAACCTACTTATTTACATAAAAGATTAAGAATGTCACCATGAAGTATGGTAGTTCATGAATGTCTGTGCTTTTGGGTTCTTTCAGGACTTTGAGTTCAAGGAAATCGATGAAGTCTTGAAACACTATCCTCAAGGATATCATGGAATTGATAAGGAAGGAAGACCAGTTTACATTGAAAGACTGGGTGAGATTGATGCTAACAAGCTTATACAGGTCACGACATTGGATCGGTATATGAAATACCATGTACAGGAGTTTGAGAAAACCTTCCATGTCAAGTTTCCGGCCTGTTCAATCGCAGCAAAGAAACACATTGATCAGAGCACCACTATTTTGGATGTGCAAGGAGTGGTAAGTGAGGACTGCTGCTGCTAGTAAATAGACAGACATGAGATATTGAATTGCATTATGTTTGCTTGTTACACTATTTGAAGAACGCTGACAAAAAAGTTCATTATCAGGGGCTTAAGCAATTCACCAAAACTGCAAGGGAACTTATTGGCCGCATTTCAAAGATTGATGGTGACAATTACCCTGAGGTAATCAGTTTAATTGTTTTAAATTTATTTTCTGCTTGCCGTCTTTCCTTAGATGAATAAATGATTCTCGTTTCAGCTAATGCTATTCGAATTTCCTCATTATTGTAGACCTTAAATCGGATGTTCATCATCAATGGTGGTCCTGGATTCAGGCTTTTGTGGAGCACTGTTAAACAGTTCATTGACCCCAAGACTGCCCAAAAAATCCATGTAAGCATCCATCTATTGATCTCAGATATTAAAAAAAAATGAAATTCTATACATGATCCAAACTAATCCATCGTTGTAGTGTCACTAATTTGTTGCCACTATTTTTTTTATCAGTTTCTGGGTAACAAATACCAGAGCAAGTTGCTTGAAGCAATTGATGCTAGGTAAGTTCATTGTTGATGACATGAAACTTCACTTTTCCAATGCCCTTTGCACTCCGCTTCTGAAACTCAAGGTGCCCTCTTTTTTTCTGGACTTCAACCAGTGAGCTGCCGGAGATTTTTGGTGGTACTTGCACCTGTGCCGACAACGGTGGTTGTATGCGTTCTGATAAGGGTCCATGGAATGATCCCGACATCTTAAAGGTACAATTGCTGCGACTTATGATTTTTCTGTTGATTACCAATTCTTCGCTTGCCAAGCATTTTATAATACAAAAGATAAATCACGTATTTTTCTTTCATTTCGATGACCCAGATGGTTCGCAATGGTGAAGCCAAATGCCACAGGAAAACATTTTCAGGAATTCATGAGAAAGGAATCTCCGAGGATGATCAGCCATGCATAAAGGTATTCATAATCTTGTGACCTCTACTCGCATCATAGACACCAGATTTTAAGCCATTGATCGATTGTTTAACATTTTCTTTGTTGTCTGGCAACACGAAGAAAAACATTTCTTTCAGCAAAGAAGCAACTGTTGATGCTGCTGATTATGGCTATCCAAAGAATCATGTAGAACATGCAATTCTTTCTCCAGTTCCTGAAGTAAGTTATGAGGATTTGAGTCCGATCGATGGGATTCCTTGGTATCATATCTTCATTTCTGATGTTCTCTTTATATTGCAGTCTCCCTTGAGCAAGAGGTGCAGTAGCGACCAAGACTATGAGAACTCGATTCCAATGGTGAAAAGGACCATCGATACTGCTTGGCCTACACCATTGAATAATAGAGATGAGCGCTCTAAAGGTACATAATCCGTCCACGTGTAGCATACCTCTCGTAAAATCGGTTTTAGCCTTGTCAAAACCACAGGAATCCTTCGTTTGGAAATCCTATGATTTTAACACTTCTTTTAAGTCGTTCATGTTTTGAAATAGAGAAGGGAACGTTTTAAGGCAGTGCCAAACTTTTGGATTATTTCTAGAATTCATATGAACAGACTTCTGCTGCCTATCAATGCCACAGAATGCCCCCCAGTACATGGTGCTTGCAAGGCTCAAGGAGGGAGCACTCAGATATTAAATGGGATACTGACTGTTGTGATGGGAATTGTCACCATGGTTCGCATATCACGCAACATGCCTAGGAAACTTGCCGAGGTTGCTGCTTATGGCAGTCAAGTCTACTACGCTGATGAGATGGCTAAAAGCCACGTGTTGGCAGCAACATCCATCTCTTCTTCTGAATACAAGAACATAATGCTGCGCATGGCTGAAATGGAAGAGAAGCTGGGTGTTCTCAGTTCAAAACCTCAAGCCATGCCCGCTGAGAAAGAGGACATGCTGAATGCTGCAATCAAGCGAGCAGATTCCCTAGAGCAAGAGCTATCAATGGTCAAGACGGTACCTCCATTTTCTTTCATTTTATCCGGAGCTGTTGCCTGTATGAAAATATCAGCCTTGTGTAATGTTCGAGCTGATTTCTTTCGTTATGTTTTTTCTTGTACAGGCACTTGAGGATGCAGTTGCAAAACAGCAGGAACTCCTAGCCTACATCGAAAAGAAAAGCCTCCATTTTCTTTCATTTTATCCGGAGCTGTTGCCTGTATGAAAATATCAGCCTTGTGTAATGTTCGAGCTGATTTCTTTCGTTATGTTTTTTCTTGTACAGGCACTTGAGGATGCAGTTGCAAAACAGCAGGAACTCCTAGCCTACATCGAAAAGAAAAGGAAGAAAAGGAGTGTAAGTTTACGCATCTCTGAAATTGCTCAGCAAAACTGATTCATGCATGCATTTTCTAATTTAATGTCTGTTCATACTTCCAGATTTTTGGATTTTGAATCAAGAGTTCATGCTGTTGAGGCGATAGATAGACAATGGCGGCCGCAGAGATTTTTAGCCCCATGATACCCGAGTGTTTTCAGACCTTGTTTGCTTTTTATAACAACTCAAAGTCCATGTATATTGTGTTTTCAGACCTTGTTTGCTTTTTATAACACCAACTCAAAGTCCATGTATATTATATGGTTATTATAAAATCATCCTCATGATTCTGTAAATTATACAAACACCGACCCACCCTTTCAGTGTGATGAGAGCATTCCGTTGTTGGATTGATATACATTTTACCTCATTACCACACGGATGTTTAGGGCAATGCAAGGGTTGAGATTAACTGAAGTTTTAACTTTAAATGAAATCAAAATAAATTCTATATTTCTGTCATTATACCAAAATTTACCTTAGAGACGTAGACCAATAAAAATAATTCAACTTTTTTGAAAAAAATAGTAGTTAACTTTAACGTCAAGCCTGTTTTGTCTTCACACAAATATATGGTAATAAAAAGACGTAGACCAATAAAAATAATTCAACTTCTTTGAAAAAAATAGTAGTCAACTTTAACGTCAAGATAAATATATGGTAATAAAGATAAAAACATGAATGAAGATTAAATATGTGATGCAGTATTCTCTTCGGAGATCGAGATTGGAAATAGATACGTTGAAGTCAATGACTATATATCACACACAGGTCCCAAACAAGATTTTAGAAGACAAACTGCTCATGCAAACCCCCTCGCAACAAGGTCTGTATTCTACACTCGGCGACAGAGAAGTACATTAATTTTGAAAGCATATCCCGGAGAGACAACATTTGCGATCGGATGTCAGACACTCGTATAGAAATAACAGATTTAAGTACCGGACAAGAGCGCAATCATGATCTCTCATTCTCCCTTGGCAAAAAAGCTTACCAGCAGAACTTCTTTTTCTGATGTGCAGGAAGAACAGAGTTAGCCACGTAGTTAAGCAAAAAAATGTATTTCCCGTATAGAAATAAAACAGAGATGTGTCTCCCTACCCGGTGGAACTTGGCCTCCTCCTGACTGTCAATGTATGCTAGCAATTCTTCCTGCCTCATTAAAGCTTCATATAGAGCCTGCTCAGGAAGCAGATGAAACCCAATGATAATGTGGATTAGATGCGAAACAGAAGCACTAGTTAAAACAAACTAAGTGCATGTAGACGAAAATTAAACTTTGGCCAAGAAAGACTGCTGACATTACATGAACTATTCAATAGAGCCTGCTCAGGAAGCAGATGAAACCCCATGATAATGTGGGTTAGATGCGAAACAGAAGCTAATTAGTTATTAGAGTTTGCATGTCATTGATAAACTGGCCTCAACAATATAAATTGCCCAAGCCATACAGGGGTAAGGCACTGAATGGTATACAATGAGATCATGGAGATGTGCATATGCATGTGAAAACAAGACTTAAAAACTACTCTTCAAAGCAACAAACAGAAAACGAGTGGAATTGCTTCTGATATTACGCTAAGAGAATGATCACAATGGCAGCAGATGCCAGATAACAAAAAAATTTACCAAAACACCATCACATGCTACATGCAAAAGTTTCTTGAATGCAAGCTCCCAGATTTGGTATTAAACAACACGATTGCCTGATGGAAAAAGAGCAGTAATGAAATCAATGTTTCTGCTAGTAAAAATGAAATTCTGGCCTAAAGAGCGATCAAACCTTTTTAGTTGCAATTAGCTCTGCTTCCAAAGCATCCACGCGACAAACAGCAGCATTCAGTAATTCCTCTTTCTCGTAAGGCATCACTGATGGCTTTGCTTGAAGTGTATTAACTTTCTCCTCGAGCTCACCTAGCCTTTTCAATACAGAGGAGAGGTGGTCTGTCTCAGTGAAAGCAGCAGTTGGTGAAGGCAGACAGCACTCCTCTTTTTGAGTTGCATCAAGGGCAGGTTCAGGAGAACTCTGATCACAATCAGGTAAGGTGTGGGGAAGCCTTTTGGTTACTTGGAATGCCAGTGAGCGAAAGAGACTGAGAAGTGTCATGAAGAAAGCCATAACTGCTATGAAAATTCGAACACGAACACCTTCTGGAGTCCTTTCAGTGTTGGGCAGGGTGATTGTTGCTGCATCAGAAATTTCAAATTTCACGATCTACTAAATACGAGATATGGATAAAAAGATAATGCATTAAATCAAATAAATGTGTTATATGGAGCACATTAAACATGGGAAAGACTAAAATCAAAAGTAAACAACAGAAAAGGCTGAAATCAAAACATCACAAAAGTTGATTCACTGCATCTGCTGTATCAGTGGGAGACATTTACGAGGCACAAATGGGAATGCATTAAATCAAATAAACATACATACATGGAGCATATTAAACACAGCAAAGAATAAAATAAAAAAACTACACTTGAGTTGATTCCTTGCATCAGTTGCATCACTGTGAAACATTTACTAAGCACAGATGGATTTATTTTTTTTACTTCTGCTTGAACAAAGAACAGAAAACTCCAATATTAGGTGGCAGATGCAAAAAGTTGCCAGCAACCACAACTAACGAGGTCAAATGCCTAAGGCATAAAGCAGAAACCTAAATCAAAATGGCCATTCTATGATGCCATCTAAGCCCTTCTTTAAATGGGTGGTTGATTCAACCTTATTCTTTCTAAAAAACATGCAACAATTTTAAGAAACCCTAATGACCTATTTCAAATCACATGTACTTTAAGTCGGTGCTAAACTATCAAAATGTAAAAAGGGAGAGGATTGTGCATTGTACTCGTGTCAAAATCCATGTGTGTAAATGATTCACGGGGTCCCTGCTCTCATACAATTAGATGAGGTGACAGCATTGTAAGCAACATACTTAGCAGAGGCTCCAGACAAGAACACAGCAAAGAGAAATAAACATGATACAGTGAACAATAGAATATAATTGCTGACCTTTGGAAACAGGCCTCTGGACGGCTGCTGGATTTTTCCATCCAGCATCAACAGCTTTGTCAACCATAGGTACGTATTCATCATACCCTGGGAAGCTACCACCATATCCTGCCTTTCCGACTATCTTAGCCTGACAATTCAACAAAGAAAATTAACATAAATAAATAAGAGAAGATCAAGCCTCAACACTTGATCAATTTGGTAGATACCACACTTGGTTACTTACTTTAGATGGTATAAACGAAAATTGTCACTACATCCAGGTCTCATTTTGAGCACATGCGTTTTCACTTTGCAACTAACCAAAGCAGAAATATTTAAGAGCGTGCAGGGGATGTTCCCAGGGAAATATAGAGAGAAATTACTAGAATAAGTACGAAAAACAAACATTTTAAAACAGAATTCAACCTCCATGCCCATGTCACTTCATCATTCATTTTGACCATGCAAAATAACTATCATTAAAAACAATATTCCAATAGCAGCACCTCAAAATAGCACATAACAAACTCCAGAATAATAAACCTACCTCTTCACGAACAGGAGTCAGTCGAAGATGGGAGTAACTTTTCAATGTTTTAGGGGATGCGATATCTTCAGCTTCAGATCCTGATTCCGCAGTGGATGTATCACTACCTTTAAACTGCTTCATGATACAAAGCAACGTGCTAAAGTTATGTAAAACAAGATACACATGCGACAATATTAAAGATGAAGATAGAGAAAATCTTACCATTGGATACCGTGGCTTAGCATAAGCAATAACCTTGCCTTCGCTGTTTAGCACTTTTACAACCTGCCTGGCTCGACGTGGTTCACCATTAAGAACCATCTGCAACAACATAAAAGTGATCAAAATTCTTTTTTTTTTTTTTGTGTTCATTTAACACAAATTAGTCCATACACCCCTATGGGTGGCAGAACGATCTAAAAACTATAACAGCTTGCACATCACATAAATTAAAGTCCAGTAAATGACCTTCAATATTTCAGGGTTTTTCCATGGTCCCTTATCAGACTGAAGGCAACCCCCCTGATCAGCACATGTGCAAGTACCACCCAGAAATTCTGGCAATTCACTGCAAAAATTGCAAAGTTCTGGTTAGTAAGAACACAAACATTTGTTTTATTAAATATCGAGAAATTCAAAATAAAAGGTTGAATGAGAATCATGCAGAGAAGTTACAAAACAGATATGTATTATACAGCTAATTCCCAACTCATTTTACCTAGCATCAATTATCTCAAGCAGTTTGTTCTGGTACTTGTTTCCAAGAACCTAATAGGTTCCAAAAAACAAAAACACATGGTAATTAAAAAATTATAGCAAGCAGATATCAGGAAAGTGCAATATATAGGAGCTAGAAATCTTAACATACGTGAATCTTGGATGTTGTTTTGGGATCTAGAAAAGTCTTTACAGTGTTCCACAACAGCCTAAATCCAGGACCAGCGTTGATAATGAACATTTGATGGAGTGTCTGCATCAATAAATGAAACGCAAGAAATCCAGCTTCAAGTACCCAAGAAAGTAAACACTTCACACGAGGAATTAATCAAAACAACAAAAACTATATTACAGACCTCAGGGTAATTGTCACCATCAATCTTCTGGAGGCGCATAATGAGATCCCGTGCTGACTTGTTAAAGTTCTTGAGTCCCTAAATGATTTACAATGAAAAGAAGAAATTAATGGCTGAAATCTTGATAAACATGCGCTGCAATGTTACAAGTGACATACCACGCCATGAACATCTAAAATAGTTGTGCTTGAATCTATATGCCTCTTTGCAGCAATAGTACAAGCTGGAAACTTAATTGTAAAGCTTTTCTCAAACTCCCGCACATGGTACCTCACGTACCGGTCCATAGTTGTAACCTGCATAAGTTTGTTAGGCTCAACTTTTCCCAGTCTTTCTATATAAATAGGTCTCCCCTCTTTATCCACACCATGATTGCCATGAGGATAATACTTCAAAACTTCTTCCAACTCTTTAAATTCAAAATCCTGAGACATGCATGGAAAATTTTGGTGAAAAGGGAAAAATGTCAAATAGCAAAGCCATTTCAAGCAAATTGTCAAATAACATGGTTACCTCCATGATGGTGTCAGTACGAAATTCCTTTCTCCATTGAAGCATATCAGCCCACATGTGCTTTGCCCTTTCAATGTCAAATTTCCTTGCTTTCAAGAACCTGAAGGGCATAAATCATGTAAGGTTATCAGCCTTTATCATTTATCAACCACAGAACCAACATAAGAGATCGAAAAAGCACAGAATTCATTACGGGTAGGATCACAACAGATTACCTCAACATCATATGATAGTCATCATGTTTTTCTGGCAATAACTCATCCATCACCAAAGCCTGTCTAAATTGATCGACAGCCTGTAATTCCTCAACATCTCGGACATCCTCAATCGAAACAGAGCTAACCCTTCCATCACTCTTTCTCCTATTGCTTTTCTTCTTCAAAGAATGCTTGAACTTGGTAGATGCATTAAGGGCTTTCTTTTTCAGCGACCCAATTCTCGTTCTCCTCTCATCCTCAGAGTTCTCAAAATCAGATTTCCTCTCTCTCCGCTCATCATTTCCAGAAAATCCCTCAAAACCTACCACACAAATATAAACAAAAAAAAGATCTTTTTTATGCCATATCAAAATCGATGGCGTCAATTTTAATTCCAGTACAGTAAAGTAATAAAACTCAATTAAAAAAATAAAAACTACAAAAAACTAATGTTTACCAGTAAAAAAATTACAACTTAAAGCCAAAGGAAAATATAAAAAAATTAAGCTGAAGTGACAAAAAACGAAAAACCATAATTAAAACCATTTTGAATTAAAAACATAAACAGTGAAAATTAAGCTAAATTGTTATATTTAAAAGCGATCAACACATAAAAAATGTAAAGAAAAAAAGAACTTAACGGTAAGAAACTTCCAGAGAAACCCTAAAACCAGTCAACAAAATCAAAATGAAAAAAAAAAAAAACTTACAAGGCCTGGCGAATCGATCCAGTGGACCCGACATCTCAGTAGACGGAAATTGATTCAAACAGATGAATTTCACTCGATCAAATCAAACTGATCACCGCATCAACAACTTTGCCTACAGATAGTCACACCTGATAAAAACCTTCGCATTTCAATAAAAACATCAGAAAGCCTAGAAAATAAAATCACGAGAGAGGATTTGACTGCAATTAGGGAGAAAAAATGGAATGCAGTATAATGTATTGACTAAGCAAGTACCTGTTAGTTAGAGGTTAATTTTTTCGTTGACACGGATCACGGTGTAGATCGGGCGGATATAATAAATGCATCAACCTCGCGGAAGATGAGTTAAAATATGTAACGGATAGGTTGCTTAAAATTAAATAAAAATAAATAATAAATAATAAATAAGGGAACAAATTAATTTCGCCGAATATGTCGACGGCGAAACGAGAGCGTTTTTTTTGGAGGGAGAAATAGTGGACTTTGTTAGGTTAGGTTTGTAGGAGAGCGAGTTGTCGGGGGTTGATAGTGGGGCCTACTAGTATTTTTTAAATTTTTTGGAATGCCACGTGGCAGATGGTGAGACGGGTGGCCATTGAGTTTACAATGGGCCGGCGGTGATTGTGTTGTTTTTTCGGTTAACGTGACATTTACCGAAGCCCATGAACATCTCGGGTCTAATAATTATTTATTTTGTATTTTTTGTGAAGTGTATTTGATGTAAAAAAGTATTAAATTAATTTTTTTGAATAGTGCTCGGGCTGGAAGATAGATTCGGGCTTGTTTGTTGTTGCTACAATTTGGACTCTTATTTTTAGATAAAAAATATTTAAAAAATATTTTACACTATAATAACAAACATATTTATAATTCAAAAACCAATTACAGGACATTAGGTTGAAGAACTTCATAAAAATGATCAAGTTAGCATAAATTTATAAAATAATATAATATTAAAATAAATTTTGAGTTTTTTAATTGAATTGACATAATCTAAGTTTAGATTGGACTAAATTTCAGAACTGTACCGGGAAGTCATGGTTTTAAATTTTACTTGTTTGCATATTTCATGTAATATTTATGAAAAAAATGCATTAAATCTTAAGATAAAAAAATAAATATAATTAAATAATGAATGTTATAAGCATGCTAAATTGATATTTATATAAATAAATTATAGAATAACAAAAGAAATACAAAATATTAATTTATAATTGTAGCATGCGAAGAGGAAAGTCATGGGTAACAAGGAAAAAAGGATATACCTGAAGGTGTATATTTGTAATTGTATTATATGAATAGGAATCCGACGGGGTTTTGTTTACTTTCGGTAATGAGCAATTTTGAGTTGATATAGTAATGATATTAAATAGATGGCATGCGCGTTGTTGCCAACCGATACGTAAATAATATAAATTATTATTATAATAACAGTTAAAAATTAGATTTGTGAACGTTTTAATATTTAAATTTAACTTAATAATATGCTAAATCTATATGACCTGAATGTAGCAGTCATGCTAGGCTGAAGAGCCTGGATTCGGTTAAAATATTAGATTCAAATTATTAATAATAAAAATAATAATTTTATCTTTTAAATTAAATTTATTATTATTTTTCAATAGTAATATTTTTTTTCAAATTTAATAATAATAATAATAATAATAATAATTGTTAATTTTACCCTTCAAATAAAATATATGGTTTTTTTATAATAGTAATATTTTTTAAAAAATTTATTAATAATATTAATAATAATAAAAATATTATTATTAAATATATCTAATTGAAGTTTTTATAGTTTTTAATTTTACCCTTTAAATTAAATTTATGATTTTTATTTAATAGTAATAATTTTTTTAAAATCTAATAATATTAATAAAAATAAAAATAATGATGATAATAATGACGATGGAACTCACGTTTCCGTAGATATAATACTTCTAGATATGATACTTCCTTCCAGACCTAAATAATTTATATATTAATAAAATTATTTTATCAGTAACTCTTATTTTATCGATAAAAATATTACATCATTAAAAATAAAAATAATGATGATAATAATGATGATGGAACTCACGTTTCCTAGATATGATACTCCCTTCCAGACCTAAATAATTTATATATTAATAAAATTATTTTATCAGTGACTTCGTCAATTATTTTATTGATAAAAATATTACATCACTATATAATTTGTTATTTTAAATCTCATTATAATACTTTTTATTATTCTCTTATTATATATCAATTAGATTTTTATGTCAATATTTATTGAAGGATACATGGATAAAAAAATCTGTCAATAAAGGTCCAAGTAAGGCCATGAACCAGGATTAAAGCGCCCTCGCACATGTCATGTAATATTTATGAAAAAAAAAATCTCTAAATCTTATGACATAAAAATAAATATATTTAAACAATGAGTGTAATAAGCATGTTAAATCATACACATATAAATAAATTATAGAATAAAAAAAAGAAATACAAAATATTAATTTGTAATTGTAGTATACGAAGAGGAAAGCCATAGTTAATAATGAGGAAAAAGGATATACCTGAAAGTGTATATTTGTAATTGTATTATACAAATAAGAATCCGACACGGTTTTGTCTGCTTTTGGTAATGAGGAATTTTGAGTTGAAATGATAATGATACCAGATAGAGGGTTTATGTGTTGTTGCTCATTGATTCATAAATAATATAAATTGTTATTGCAATAATAATTAAAAGTTAAATTTATAAAAAATTTAGTATTCAAATTTAACCTAATAGCTTGCTAGGTCCACGCGACTTGAATCTAATAAACATGCTAAATTTAAAAATTTTGGACTTGATCGGAATACTAAATCCAAATTGATATTTTTATTATTAGTAATAATAATATTAATTTTATTTTTTTCTCTTCAAGTTAAATCTATAGTTATTTTTTAATAGTAATAATATTTTTTTTAATTGAATAATAATAATAATTTTATTCTTCAAATAAAATCTATGGTTTTTTTTACAATAGTAATAATATTTTTTTTCAAATTTATTAATAATATCAGTAATAATAAAAATAATATTATTTATAACATCAATAATAATATTAAACACTCCTAACCCAAATTCTTATAGTTTTTAATTATACCCTTTAAACCAGATCTATGGTTTTTCTTCAATAATAATAATATTATTTTTCAAATTTAATAAGAACAAGAACAAGAACAATAATAATAATCATAATAATAATAACAACAACAATAATAGCAAGACCTATATTCTTTGGATATAATATCCCCTTCCACGTCCAAGTAACCTGGGTCTAGCGTCCCTACCAATAGGGTGTTTAAAATAATCAATTGATTGAGAAAATCGAATAAAAATTAACTAAAAAAACCAAACCTAAATGAAAAACCGATTGTCAAAACCATAAATTTTAATAGGTTTGGTTCGATTTCAGTTTTGAACTAGAAACCAACACAAACCAAACTGAACCCATTAAAAGCTAAAAATTATAAAAATCTTTGAGTTGTAAATAGTTAAATTGTAATCTAACCCTAACATTAAGGGTGCCTCTCATAAAAAGTTGTCACCTTGCCCCAGATAAATTTTCAATCTTCCTCTCAATTAATTCTCAATCTTCATTTTCTAATTTTCTAATCTTCCTTTCTGGTGGGTTGTTGGGTTGTTGAATGAGCTTTGCACATTTTTGTCACTTCTATCCTTTTCTTATTCTTATCTTTCCTTCCTTTTTATTTTTAGTTTTTTTTTATTGTGGTGACTATTTATGGTGACGGTTAAGATCAATGGGATTAATGACAATGGAAAACTATAAAGGAGTTGTTTTGGATATTAAAGATAATCATCCTTCACCTAGCTCCTTCAAGGAAGTTTTTGTCTTGAACTTCTCTAGAAAAAATTTGGTTTATTGGTTTAAAAAGAAAATTTTAAAGCTCGATTTAATGTAAGCCAATTTTAAAAAATCCAAAAAAAACCTATATATGATGGGCTTAGGTTTCCTAGTTTTTTTTCTAAAAAATTGGATTTAACCCAACCGGATCGATTCGGTTAATATTTCACAAAATTAATGTGATTAGGTTCGGTTGGTTTTTTAAACCCAAACCGAACTGAACCGAAGTGTAAACATCTCTACCTGCCAAATCCTAGTTCATGGGATATGACCATGCTCAACCCAGGTGTAATCTCCATACTATTTTTTTCAATAGTAATGATATTTTTTTAAAAAAATTACTAATAATTACATAAATAATATTAACAACAACGAAAAGAATAACAAAAACAAAACAATAATAATTTTAATTTTAACTTTCAAATTAAATCTATGGTTTTTTTTGCAATAGTAATAATATTTGTTTTTCCTTGAATCTATTAATAATATTAACAATAATGAAAATAATAATATTAAACACGTCTAACCCAAGTTCTTATAATTTTTAATTTAACCCTTTAAATCAAATTTATGGTTTTTTCAATAATAATAATATTTTTTTAAAAAAAATTAATAAGAATAATAAGAATAAGAATAATACTAATACTAATAATCATGATAATAAAAGAGGAAATAATACTAATAATAAGACTCATGTTCTTTGAATATGACATCCCTTTTTAAACCTAATTTACTTAGATCTGACGTCCCTGCCAGACTCTAGTTTTTAGGGTATGGTTGTGTCTACTTATTTTTTTTCAATAATAATAATATTTGTTTTTTAAATTTATTAGTAACTATATTAATAATATTAACAGTAATGAAAAGAATAGCAACAGTAGTAGTAATTTTTAATTTTATCATTTAAATCAAATCTATGGTTATTTTTCAATGGTAATAATTTTTAATAATAATAATAATAATAATTTTACTCTTCAAATAAAATTCAAGGTTTTTTTTTACAATACCATTATTTGTTTTTTCAAATTTATAAATAATTATATCAATAATAATAAAAATAATAATATTAAATATGTCTAACGCAAGTTTTTATAGTTTTTAATTCTATCATTTAAATCAAATCTATTGATTTTCTTCAATAGTAATATTTTTTTTCCAAATTTAACAACAACAACAATTAGAATAAGAATAATATTAATAATTATAATAATAACAATGATAATAAAAATAAAACCAACATTCCTTGAATATGGCATCCTTGCAGAAAAAATTACATAAGAAAGAAGAAGAAATGAGGGAGGGGAAGAGGAGAATCGACAATCAGGTTATAAATTTAATATTATCGATGACAATGCTAGTGAAATTATTCAATTAGTAATATTGTCGGTTATTTTGCTACTAAAAATATCGTATCACCGTATGATTTGTCATTATAAATCCTGCTATAATATTCTCTGTTATTCTTTTGGTGTATATCAACGAGGTTTTCATGTTAGTGTTTACTGAAAGATATATAAATAAAAAATTATATCGGTAAAAATTATCACAATATATTAATATAATTTTTTTATTGATAATTCTATTTATATTTGTCAATTTTCTAGTACCGATGTCAATTTTTCTCTCGTCAAAACCAGCCAATTTCACCAACAAATTTAGCCATCCCCTACCCCTTTTACAACAACAATAAACATCACTCTCATCAATTCCATTCCAACCACAGCCACCAACAAATTTTAGCAATTCCTCACGCTTTTTCCAATAACAACAGGCATCACATTTCCCTCACCATTTTTAACCACAAGAAATGCCAAATTGTTGACCTTTTGCTCGTCAAATTCCAACCACTTTCATCATTATTTCCAGCCACACTTAGCATTTCAACCTAACATTTCATTTTGCAATTTCAGACATTTCTCTCAACTTCTCTAGTCACAACAATAAAATCTACACATTTCCCATAACTTGAATTTTATTAACTTGCTATGTGTGTTATATAAATTCTCCTGCTAACACAAACAAAATAGAAGAAGTGTTAGAAAGGATGCAAGAATGTGGAAGTAATGCTGACAGTTTAAATTACGTCAGACTTTAATAGCAAACCATAAATCACATGGAGTCTCAGTGTAATTAAATGCCATAATCAGGGGCAAAATATTTAATATACTTGTTTTCAGCAAGAAAATTTGGATAATTAAAATATGTTTTTTACGTCAATTACAAGTCTTTCAAAAGCATAAAAAAAACAACTTAGGTTTTTCTAATTTTTAAAATAAATTAATTGAAGCAAATCAAAATTTATAGGTTGAAACTAATTTTGGTTTTAATTATTTTTTTTAAAATAATTTGATTATTTATTTTAGGGTATAAATCAAACCAAAGTAAAACTAATCACCCCTGTGTGATAGCCTTTGTTTTTTTCTCAGTCATTCGGCCTCCTGTTTTATTTTCTTTTTAGCTAGCATTTTCATATTCGTGGCCCAGGACTTTATTGCACATATTAAATTTAGGTATATAAACTTTTTTTCTCTTGGATTCTCTTCCCATGCAAACCTTGTCTTTCTCTCCGGTTTTTGTTCTTCTTTTTGTTTTTTATTTTTCTTCTTATTCTTATTTTTTTAACCATGAATATTCAAGTTCATACCTCAATTGATCCCTCAAGATTCTAAAGTTATCGATCATATAAATCTTTAGTGGCTCTAAGTATGGGTGAGTAAAAAAATAGAATAACTGATTAAACCAAGAAAATAAAAAAAATAAAAAAACTCAATTAACCAATTAAAAAATCAACAAAAAAGTTTTAGTTCAATTCGGTTTTTAAAGTCTAAAACCAATTAAACTGAACCGGTTTAGCCAGGCTAGCGCTTAAAAAACAAACAAGTATAAATAATATATTTTTTCCAACCCTGAATCTAAATGCATTCCCAATCGCCCCCTCTCCTTGCTCTCTGTCTATCATCTCTCAAATTTATTTTTTTCTCTTCCATGCTCTTTGTCTCTCATCTCTTAAATTTATCTTCTTCTTCTCCATGCATTTTCAGTCCTGTGTCAATTTGGGTCTCTCCCTCTTCTTTAAAGGATGAATAATAGATTCTTTTGGGTTTCTTGAATTTTATTGATTCTTGTTTAATCTCTCTAAGTATTCCACTTTTGATCTGAGTTACTTGCATGAACTTTCTCATTTATTTTATAAGAAAAGATATAACAGATGATTTTGAAGATGTGGGTCATAGCGATGATGCTAGAGAGATGATGGAAAAACATGTCATTGGTGAGGTAGATGTAACAATATCTCAACAAAATGCCTTTACGTAGCACTAGGTTTGAGAGGAACATACCCTAAAGACGAGAGGCTTGGGTTTTTAATTAAGATCTTACAGCTTCTCGTGCCACTCTTGATCTTGGGCTTGACTTTTGCTGTTAAAACCTACATCAAAAAAGAGTAGAGGCTATGATTTATCCTTTTGAGGTGTCAGAAGGGGATTCAATTGTGTTTGTGCTGGAGATGCTTTAGTTCAGTTTAAAAAATAAAAGTGTTGAAAAATATGATTAATAAAAAGCTTAGGAAAAACTTAACCGAAATAATTTTGGCTTGAACCAGTTTGGAAGAGGAAAAATAAAAATTGAATCGAAATTAATTAGTTTGAACTGGTTTTTAATTCGATTTAAAAACTTTTTTTAAAATTTTTGGTTTGATTGTTTAATTTGGTCCAAAACCATATCAAATAAAAAATATTCAGCCCTAGCCCTGAGATTTGTAGCACTTAAACTAGTGACTTTTGAAAACAAATCCAAAGCTATAACTCTTTAAGGTTTTATTTTTTTTATTTTCATTGCCTTTATTACTGGTGTGGGCTATGATTATGTTATTTGTGTTTTATGGGTCACCTTTCCTTTTACTTTATGCATTGAATCGTTCTAATTTTTTCTTGTATTTGATGAATTGTGCAAGCTTTTATAGGGTTCTTAGTTTGTTTCTATAGTTTATGTGAGAGAGTTGTTCAGTTGTGGTTTGCTCTCTACTTTATTGGTTTCTTCATAATATTTTTATTTTTTTAGTTGTTTTCGTAATTTTTTTAGAATTATGGTAGTGATTACAATTTAAAATATTTTTTATTTAAAATATATTAGAATGATGTTTTTTTACTTTTTAAAAATTATTTTTAAGATTAATATATCAAAATAATTTAAAAATATAAACATAATTTAAAAAAAAAAATACTATATCAACCACGTTCCTACATAAAATATAATGTTTGCTTTTTTTCCTATATGAATTGCCTATCATCTTGTTGAAATGCTAAATTGCTAAACTATGTAAAATAAAGGTGCAAAACAGTTGAATGTTTATTCCTGACCATCATTTACTTTTTTTAATTAACACTTTGATTGTGGTAAAAGTAGACTTTGACTCTAGATTAACAAAATTTATGGCAATGCAATTCCAAGATAAATATAATATGATCAAATCTTATCCTTCTAATTCAATACGAACAAAAAGCACAAAACTAGCATAGGAACATTTTTTTTTGTAATGTTAAATGATTTTTTTTCCCTCTTCTGGCATGATAAAAACATGGTAATTTATATTGCCTAACATGTCAGAAGAAAAATTAACTAAGATGAGAAAAAAGGTAAATAGCAATCTTTACTTATATTTGACAGGAGATACTTTACCCACCAAGTAACTTGGGGTATGATGGAAACATTAAATCTAAGTTACTTAGATCTTAATAA